GAGACACACACACAGACACGCAGAGAGACACACACACAGACACGCAGAGAGACACACACAGTGGCCTCTATCGTCTCCCTTTCACTGGTGCCTGGGGGGGGAGTCAGCAGGGGGCGCTCTCCCCTGGCAGGCGGGGCTGGTCACAGGGCGGCGCTAGGGGGCGCTGTGGGCAGGGGAGGGGGGGGGGTTACGTCTCTCTCGTGTATTTTGTACAACAAGCCGACACTGTGTATATCTCTGTACAGCTCTGACCCCCCCCCGCCCCAAACCTGCCCCCAACCATGTGTAGTGGGTGGGGGAGGGGAACACGGGACCCTCATGTGCCCCCCCTTTCCTCTGGCCATACCCCCCTAGGCCTCCCCCCCATTCCCTTCCCCACCCCCACTGACCCTTCCCCCCATCCCCGATCCCACTTACTGCCCCTCCCCCTCCTTTCTTACCCCCACTCCCTCTCCGGCTCCTGCCTGCCCCTCCCGATACTGCCCCCTGGCGCCTCCCCTACAGCCCCGCCCCTCTTCGGCCCCGCCCCTTTATGGCTCCTCCTCCTTCCTGCCCCTCCCCCACCCTCTCCCTGCACAGAGAGCAATAAGGCCCCCAGCCTGCACCCTGGGGTCCCTGCATGAGTGCCAGCCCCTCCCTCTGCAATAAACCCCCCAACCTTCCACCCCCCCAGTGCAAAGGGGCCAGCCCCCCACTCCCCCCAACCTGCACAACCAAGGGAATAAACCACGTTTCTATGATCCTACCGGGCTCCATGTGGCTGTGTGGGATCAGGCTCCGGGATTTCCCCGGTTCCAGGAGGGAAGTAGGGGCTGTTCTGACGCCGTTCCCGGGCTCTGGCTCTGGGATTTACCCAATTCCCGGGGGGAGGGAGCAGCCACTCCCCAGCTCCGGATCCAGCTCCGGGATTTACCCCCCGCCTCTAGGGTGACCAGACAGCAAGTGTGAAAAATCGGGACGGGGGTGTGGGGTAATTGGCACCTATATATGACAAAAGCCCCAAATATCAGGACTGTCCCTATAATATCGGGCCATCTGGTCACCCTATGCCTCCGGGACAAGGGGCTGCCAGTTAACTCCATTCCAGGCCACACCGCTAACCAGTTCCAGGCCTTTTCTCTCGCCGGCGAGGGGGACACGATCCAGCCCCGGGTTTTCCTCAGCCCCACCGGAGAACCTGCCCCAGGGGCCATTCCAGTGCCCACGGGAATCCGGATCCGGGCCTTCCCCGTCTCCAGGTGGCCTCAGCCCCTTCTATCTGCGCCCCCCACCCTCCGTCTGTCCCCCATCCCCGACACCCCCATCTACCCTCCACTGATCCATCCATCCCCATCCACACCCCTCCATGCATCTCTCCAACCCCATCCACCCCCGCTAGCTACCTCTCCATCTCCATCCACCCCCATATCTTCCTCTCCATCTCCATCCAACCCCGCTATCTACCTCTCCATCTCCATCCACACCCCTCCATGCATCTCTCCATCCCCACCCACCCCTGCTATCTACCTCTCCATCTCCATCCACCCCCGCTATCTACCTCTCCATCTCCATCCACTCCCCTCCATGCATCTCTCCATCCCCACCCACCCCTGCTATCTACCTCTCCATCTCCATCCACCCCCGCTATCTACCTCTCCATCTCCATCCACACCCCTCCATGCATCTCTCCATCCCCACCCACCCCTGCTATCTACCTCTCCATCTCCATCCACCCCCGCTATCTACCTCTCCATCTCCATCCACTCCCCTCCATGCATCTCTCCATCCCCACCCACCCCTCCTATCTACCTCTCCATCTCCATCCACCCCCACTA